CCTGGAACCGAGGGGGTGCGCCGACCGGGGCCTCTGCCTCGCATGCGCGGGAGTACGGCGGCGACGCCCAATAGCCGAGCGCGAGCGCTGGTCGCCCGCCCCCGGCGCCGCCCGTAGCACTGCGCCCGCCGGCCGCCGTCGGGCCCCGGTGGCCTGGCGCCCTGGGCCCCGCGGCCACGGCGCGCCCAGTTCCGTCTGCCCGGGCCGCGGCGGCGCGCCCGCTCAGCCCCCCGCTGGAGCTGCAGCGGCAGCAGCGCCGCGCCCGCCAGCGGTGATGAGCAGGCGAGGAGGGACGGCCAGGCCTCCTCCTCCTCCTCCTCCTCCCTCCTCCCCTCCTCCTACTCCTCTTCCCCCCTCCCCCTCACTCCTCTTCCTCCTCACTCCTCCTCCTCCGCCCTCCTCCTCCTACTCCTCCTTCTCGTCCTCCTCGTCCTCCTCGTCCTCCCTCGTCCTCCTCGTCCCCCCCTGCCTCCTCCTTCTCCTCCTCCTCCCTCCACTCCCCCTCCCCCCCCCGCCTCTCTCCTCCTCCCTTTCCTCCTCCTCCTGCCTCATCTCTCCTTCTCCCTCCTTCCTCCTCCTCCTCCTCCCTCCTCCTCCTCCTCCTCCTCCTCCTCCTCCTCTCTCCTCCTCCCCTCCTCCTCCTCCTCCTCCTCCTCCCTCCTCCCCTCCTCCTCCTCCTCTCTCCTCCTCCTCCTCCCTCCTCCTCCTCCCTCCCGCCTCCTCCTCCTCCTCCTCCTCCTCATCCCGCTCCTCTCCCGTGAATCATGCTCGATGCGGGTCGGGCCCCCTGTTTTTTAGCTGGCCAACCGGCCGCCGCCCTCCGCCCCTTACTCCCCCCCCCCTCCATTCCTCCTCCCCATCCCTTCTCCCCCTCCTTCTCACACCTCAAGCATTGGGGGCTCGCTCGTGCGCGAAACGGCAAAGGGCACAAACGTGCACAGCAGGGCTTCGAAGAGCTAGGACCTCACGTCATCAGCTACAAATTTGGAGGTGAAACCTAGTCGCCCAGGACAGGCCTGGGGGTAGTGGCGTTTTTTTTCGTGCGTCGGATATCTGGAGGCTTGGCCTGTAGAATCCTGGAGAATCCTCCCCACACATCGGGGAAACCAAAAGGTACCTACCGATACTGCTACTCCCTGGACCTCTCCCAAAGTGCGTTCTGACTGGAGCTTCGAGACGAATCCGGCGGTGGCGACGAGGGGGGGCCTCCCAGGAGGCTGAGAAAGGGGGGAAATGGAAAAAATGGTAAAGGTATGGGTACCTCGTCCTCCTCGTGACACGTTCCCCCTCCCCACACCGCTTCCCCGCCCCTTCGCCCTCCCCTGCCCCCGACGCCCCCGTCCGGTCCTTCCCGTCGGGCGCCGCCTTCGAGGCCGAGGCCTTGGCCCCGCTCGTGTTGGTGATGTTCTTCGCCCGGGTGGCGTACTTCAGAGACATCGTGGTCTCGTCGAGGTTGGAGCTGGCGGGCGAGCAGTTGACGAACATGAGGGTCTTCGCGCTCCCGCCCAGGGAGTCCTGCATCAGCTGCGTCAGCTTGTGGTTCCTGTACGGGATCACCTCCCAGGATCGGCAAGCATCGATGAAGGGGCCCTGGGACGCACAAATAAATACACACACAAATAAAAGGATTCCCTAGATTTTTCCATAGTTTCTGGGTTCTCATCTCCCCCCCCAATGCCTACATTTTCCCATATTTTCTGGGAGATCGCCGATCAATTGTTTCTGTGTGTGTGTGTGTGTTTCTTTCCCTCCTGCATCGAGTTGGCAAATCGGATTGGATCGAGGTGCGCATCGGGTCGGGCTGCACCGGCCCAGCATCGGGTCCGAAGCGGAGCGACCGCGCCAGGATGCACAACACAGCGCCGTGCGAGCATCGGGCGACCCTCGGATCGTCGGAGCATCGGAATCGGATTGGATCGGGGCGCTTCGTGCCTTTGTGCTCCTCTGTAGGTTCTGATCCCGCGCTCGGTCGCTGTATAATTAGGCTCGCGCGTAGCCCGCTCGACCTTTTCGGACGCCCCATGCGCTTTCGCTGGCGGCTGCGACAAAAAAAAAGTTGTTGTGCTCCAGCGGGCTGGTGGCGATGAAATATTCACAATCGATAAGCAATCACGCTGCCCGGCGGGTGCGGCCGATGTGGCCGCTGAGCGCCGTGCACGAGATTAATGAAAGAGGGCAGAACTAACAATAGCCCTAGGTTCGGGCTGAAGGGGGAACTTGCCGTCGCTCGGACGGCCAGTTCCCGTGCATCCTTCGGTCTCGTGCGTGTTTTTGTTTTGCTCGATGGTCCAGGATGGTCCTCGATGGCTCTCGCCGAGAAAAAATGCACACGTTTGAGCGATGCCAAGGAGGATCGGGTTGGTCGAAAGGGGGGGATAGCAAAGGGTGGGTTTGAGAATCAGCTCACGTAGCTGATTTTCCCGGCGCCTCCCGGCGCCGGAGGCGGCTATGTATCGAGGAATGGGCCCCTCGGTGAGGCCGAAACCAGCTGCATGCAGCAAATTTCGTAACCTTCCCTTTCCCAATCCCCCCCTTTCGTCCGGCCCAAGAGGAAAAGTAGAGCTGCCTTCTGGCTCTTCGTGATGCCCTCGATGACGTCGCCGAGGGCCGTCAAGGACTTGTTGATCTCGATCGCCTCCTGCTGGCCCTCGGCCTCCACGCTCGACTTCTTCAGCCTCTCGGAGCCCGCCAGGTCCACCAGCAGGATCTTGCCCCGCTGCCGCTCCTTGGTCTCCTCCAACCGGAGAACCGAGAACAACATATACAGCCGGCCTTGATTGGACAGGACACGCGGGAGGACACGAGGCCCTTCCGAGGGCCGCGTTGCCACAGGAGTGCGAGAAGGCACGTGTCGCGAGGCACAGGACACATGGGTACCCTCCTCCTCCTCCTCCTCCTCCTCCTCCTCCTCCTTCTCCTCCTCCCAAGCATGCACTTCCGGAGGCCCGCGCAGATGTCTTGGACCGGCGCTGGACCCTCCTCCCTGGCGCGCGGACCAGGGGCGGCGCTGGATGCGCCGCCCAGGGTCCCAGCGCCAATGCAAGAAATCCGCGCGGACCTCCAAGAATCAGTGTTTGTGCAGTGGTTTTGTGCCTCGGTGCGGAGGGCACCAAGGATGCACCTGCGCGCGAGAGCTGAGAGCTTCCTTCCCTTCTCCCCTCCGCCGCCTCCCCTCCCCTCATACCCCCGCATGCTCCCGCTCTTTCCTGTCCGACCACCAATCCATATAAATCGATCGCATAACTGCCCGCGTGCCAGAGGCACGGGCCAAGATTTCCCCCCCGAGTTCTGGATTGGCACGGCCTTCGGGCCGATCGGGAGCAGCGTAGCAACTATACACCTACACCGATCCTGGCCAGGGTCAACCTGGGCCCAAGATCGGTGTATACGCCCTCCCGGATTCGGCAGACGGGCACATACGCCGATCACGGGACCAAGATCGGCCTGGTCAGGACCGGTGTTGGTGTATAGTTGTGCCCTCGGATCCTTGTTGACACTGACCACCGTGATTATGAGCACCAGGTGGGAGCGCGAGCTCTCGCTGTTCATCGCCGTGGCAGCCACGGTCCGCTGTGCGTTGCCCCTCTCCAGGAGCTTGGACAGCTCGTCTGCACTCTCGCAGGCCTCCTCGGTCAGGTTCTCCACGCACACCGCGCCCGCCTTGTCGACCTTCAGGTTGAGCTTGCCCTTCGTGGCCGTGGGGTTGCCCTTGCTCAGCAGGTCTACCAGGTCGTTGCGGTAGAGCTCGAGCATCGAACTCATCACCGTGTAGTTGAACCGGGCCTTGCCTTCTTCCATCACTCTGTAGAGCTCCTGGATGGTTCTGGGGGCCACACCCTCCTGACCTTTGGTGCCATACATGGTGAAAGTCTTGCCAGCGCCGGTCTGTCCGTAGGCAAAGAGGGTCACGTTGTAGCCGTCCACGGCCGACTGCACGAGGTCCCTGCAGTCATTGAAGACGTCGTCCTGCGTGCCAGGCGTGAACACGGCGTCGAAGGAGAACTTGCTGCTGCCGCCAGAGTCGGATTCAACCGACAGGTTCATGGAGTCGATGGCCTTGGTGACCTTGGTGTCGCCCTGATCCTTCTCCTTCGAGCTCAGCGGTCTGACGCGGCAGAACACTCGGATGGAGCCCTTGAGGTCCTCGATGGTGTTGTGCAGCTTCTTCCGCCTGATCTCCGCATCCTTGAGGTCTGACTCGGCCACGCTGGCCGCCAGCGCTTCCGTGATCGCAGCGGCGAGCTTGTCTTTCGCTGCCTTCATGGAGTCGATGTCGGTCATGTCGGCCTTCTTAGCGTCGCTCACTGCCTCCTTGACGGACTTGAGCAACTTCGCCTTCTCCTTTTCTCTCTTGTACATTGTGTTCACCTCCCTGTACTCGTCCTTGGGAAGCGGGGCCTCCTTCGCCGCGATCACGGCCTCCTCAAGGGCCTCGATGGTACCCTTCTCCAGGGCATCCTTAGGAAGGACGAGGAGGAGCAGGAGGATAAGGAGACGCTGAGGAGGAGGAGGAGGAGGAGAAGGAGGAGGAGGAGGAGAAGAAGGAGGAGGATGACGACGAGCAGGACGATGAGGACGAGCAGGACGATGAGGACGAGCAGGACGAGGAGGAGCAGGACGAGGAGGAGCAGGAGAGCAGGAGGACGACGAGGACGAGGACGAGGACGAGGAGGAGGACGAGGAGGAGGAGGAGGAGGAGGAGGAGGAGGAGGAGGAGGAGGAGAAGAAGGGCTACTTACCCGCAAGGGAGAAGCGTCAAAATAGCCCTTCAGCAGGGCATCCTTGATCAGCTCCCGAGCCTCTGCCTTGGGCTGCTCCTCCTTGAGCACGGCCTTGGCCTCCTTGATGACGTCCTTTTCCACTCCAGCCTCCTTGGCCTGCTGAATGGCAAACTTCAGCTTCTTCACATCCTTCTCCTTGGCAGCGCTCTTGAGCATGGCCTCCGCCTTCTCCTTCGACTGGGTGGCGTTCAGGAGCTCCCTGAACTTGTCCAGCTCTTCCTGGGGCCACGGCGGCCCTGCCCCTCTAGGGGGCCAATGGGGGAGGAGGAGGAGGAGGAGGAGGAGGAGGAGGAGAGGAGGAGGAGGAGGAGGAGGAGGACGGGGAGGATTAGGGAGGAGGAGGAGGAGGAGGAGGAGGAGGAGGAGGAGGAAGGGGTAACAAAAGCAATCCACCCGACCCTGGCCAGGCCAAACAGAACAAACGCGGCCCGAGTGCGAACACACATGCGTAGAACAACAAAGAAACGCCATAGACATAAACTTTTGGCGCTCCGCGCGGATTTCTTGGATCCGCGCTGGGCACACTGGGCGGCGCCTCCGGCGCCGCCCCTGGCGCACTCCGCGCGCCAGGGAGGGGGGTCCAGCGCAGATCCAAGAAATCCGCGCGGAACGCCAAAAGTTTACCCATCGGTCGGAATCAGTAGGTATAAGCATGAAGTCGGAAGGCGTGGGAAGTAGCTTAGGTTTCCGCCCGCCCCCCTAACGACGAGGGAAGGGGGAAACACGGTCGCTGATTGAAGAGGAAGGCGCCGAAAGCAGACGCCTCTCAACGACCGATGGGTACGTTTGTGGCGCTTTTCCTTCCTCGAGCGCGGCAACCCGTGGACGCCGCTGCCACGGCCAGCGCTGGACGGCCTGCTGCTGCCTGTACCGTCGGGGCGTTGACCTTAGGAACCCTAAATCAGGAACGAGGCCCCTTTTCTCCAGAAGTTAACCTTCGATTTCCGGACGAAAACATAAGGAAAGCCTGAGGCAAGCTGTGAAACACGTAAGGAACGCGGAGCCCCTCCCCAACGAAAAGGGTTCCTTCTTCAGGGCCCCGACTGTACCCCCCTGGGGCGGGCGACACCCGCACGGTCCTCGGGCAGGCCCACCTTCTCGCCCTTCGCGAGGGCCGCCTCGGCATGACCACAGACTGCACGCGCGGGGCCAACAAAAAGTCCACCACCACCACCACCTCCCTAACCCCATCCCTCCCCCAGGAAGGAGGAGGGGAGGAGGAGGGGAGTGGAATGGGAGGGAGGAGAGGAGGAGGGGAGGAGGGGAGGGGGGGAGGGGAGGAGGACAGGGGAGGGGAGGAGGAAAGAGGAGGGGAGGAGGGTAGAGGAGGGAGGGGGAATGGAGGTGGTGGTGGTGTACATTCTTGTGGCCCGCAGCACGAGCATCAACTTTCGGAGGTCCGCGCGGAGTTCTCGGGCTGGCGCCAGACTCCCCTACGAGAGGCGCCAGAGGCGCTCCCAGGAGGATCCCCCCGCCGATCCGAGAAGTGCGCGCGGCGGGGCTCGACTTGAGCAGTGCTTTCCGTTCTCGTTTTGTTTTGGTTGCCCCTCGTTCTGCCTTCGTCCCGCCTTTGCTGCAGAGCGAGGTCAAAACGAAAACGACCAGCGAGATCACCAAAGCCCCGTTTGGCCCTGGCGCGTGACCCTCCGAGAACTCACGTGCCAGAACTCGACCCCCCCGACCTCTGCAGGGGCGGGTCCTGGTCGGGGCTCCGAGGCGAGCCCGGCCTGCTGCGACGAGAGGCCCTCCCGGCCCCCCGAAAGGCCCACGCTCGCGTCAAAGAACTGGACCCTGCACTTTTTCCCACGACAACAAGCAAGGCCGCCGAACTTCGCGCATCGCGCCCCGCGTTGCACGATGATCTTCGCGCCATCGCGCCACCCCCCTGGGAGAAGGGGAAGCGCTCTGGCCCAGACCGCGATGCGCGAAGCGCGATGTGCGCCCCCGCGGGTGACCCGGGGCCCCCCTTCGCCCAGAAGTCCGGATCCTAATCCCACCAGCCCTTTAGGTCGTGAGTGGTTTAGCAAATTTCCTCTTCCAGCCCCCCTTCTTTCCCTTCGGGGAGGGCTCGATCACTGTTCCCTATTAGCAAACACCCCCTCCCCCAGGCGACCGGCAGCCAACCCGGACCAGTGAGCCCCCCCTATCCCTTGAAATAAACAACACAAAACGCACTTTGCTTCCAAATCTGGCGCATAGGCGCCCCGCGACTTCTCAGCATTGGTTTTTAACAGGGACAGCAGGGATGCTGGCACATCGCTTGCTGCGCGCAAGCCAACCATCCCCGTCAAAAACAAGACAACAATACAACAATACCGGAGAACAAACACAATCATCATGTTTTTTGGGTGAGGCTATAGGACTATGAGGCTCTGGGGCTTTAGGGCTATAGGGCTATAAAACTAGAAAACTATAGGGCTATAGGGCTATAGGGCTACCGGGCACCCTGGCACCTGGGCGTGCCGCCGAAATCGGCGCCAAACCTCACCTAAGCATATGAATCCGCCAGGACCCCTACAGAGGCAAGCTCTGATTGGGGAATGCGGTTCCAAATCTGGAGCATGCGCAGGGCCCTCTTTTCTCTGAGCTCTTACCTGTTTCACGACTCCTCAGCATGTCACAATTTGTCCATCGGTGCCGGTGTTTTGCGCTGCCTGGAAGAGCCGCCCTTCTCACATAATGCTCGGCACTTCGCTTCAGGGGGATTCAAGATGCTGATCTCTATGGGACCAGGGCCTCAAGCACCTGGGGTCTCTATTGGTTTCCGGTCGCTGGCGCGGCTGGAGCACGTGGCACAGTTGGCGAACGTGGAGCATGTGCCGCACCCCTGACACGCATGGGCCTCCAGGGTGCCTGGTGCAACTGGAACCCGTGGCGTAAATGGCATGTGTGGCGTTCCTGAGCAATCTGCTGACACTCGGGTGTTACTTATGTGTTGGGAGGGCGGGTGGGAGTGAGCTAGACGGCCTGCTATATAGGAGGGTAGCTTGACCGCTCACTCTCCCCTCCCGCTAAGTGTGGACGGAGGTATGCCGCGAGACGTTGGAGCGTCCAAGATGGCCCTGGCGATGAAGCCAAAATCATTGATTGTACGAAAATTCTGGGGCCACATTTTGGCCTTTTGGGGGGGGGGGGCGCCGCTAATTGAGGAGCTCCCCTCCTTTGACCGATCTCCTCCAAGATGGCCCCCCGAGGCTTCCAAGGGTGCCCCAAGAGGTGCTCAGGAGGCCCAAGAGGTTTCCAATCTGCTCCCAAGATGCCCCCCAAAGGCTCCCAAGAGACCCACAAGACGCCCCAAGAGGCCCCCAGAGGCACCCAAGACGCCTCAAGAGGCCTCGGCGAGAAAGCAAACATCAATGATTTGACGAAGGTTTTGACCACATGTTGGCCTCCTGGGGTGGGCCCTAAGTAAGGAACTCCCCTCCTTCGATCGATCTCTCCGGAGATGGTCCCAAGATGGCCCCGGAGGCTCCTAAGGGTGCCCCAAGAGGGCCCCAAGAGGTGCCCAGGAGGCCCCAATAGGCCCCCAAGAGGCCCTCAAGATGCCCCCGAGAGGCTCCCAAGAGACCCCGAAGAGACTCCAAGAAGCCACCCAGAGGCACCAGATACGCCTCAAGAGGCCCCCGAGACTGCCAAGAGACCCCCAAGACGCCCCGAGACTACCCCAAGAAGCTCTCGAAAGAAATCCGAAGAGACTTCGAAAGTCATCCAAAAGGCCTCTGCCCTTTCTGCACGCCCTCCTCCTCCTCCTCCTCCTCCTCCTCATCCTCCTCCTCCTCCTCTTCCTCATCCGTCTGTTCCTCCTCCTTCCTCGTCCCTCCTGCCCCTCTCCCTCCCCCTACTACTCCTCCTCATCCTCTTGGTCTTCCTCCCACTCCTCATCCATCCTCCCCCTCTTGGGGCACGACGTCTTACCCAGCCCTTTGTCTCTTTCATTGCATTATCCTCCGTATCCCTGATCAGTGCAACTCGTCTGGGCATCCTTTCTGGATGGGCTGGTGGGGTTACGCAAAGCGTGTAGAGCTTGTTCCTTAACAACAACAAGCTCTGGGCCAGAACATGGTCGTGACCAGGGAACGGAACGCTCCCCAGGCGAACGGAGAGAGCCGCACGCCTTACGCACACTGGTGCACCAGTCGTCTGCAGACTGCAGATGTCTCTTCGAGGCGCCGCGGAGCCGCGTCTGGATCCTCGTCGTGCTCGTGCCGCTTTCTGCTGCTCCCCGCCTCCAAGACTCCGACGCGAACCCTGGCCGTGGCGACGAGAGGCCTCCCCAGGCCCACATGGCCTCCTCCTCCTCCTCCTCCTCCTCCTCCTCCTTCCTCCTCCTCCTCCTCCTCCTCCTCCTCCTCCTCCTCCTCCTCCTCCTTCCTCCTCCTCCTCCCTCCTCCTCCTCCGCCTCCTCCTCCTCCTCCTCCTCCTCCTCCTCCTTCCTCCGCTCCTCTCCGCTCGCCTCCCTCCCTCACCTCCCTCCCCTTCCTATCCCTCCCTCCCCTTCCCTCCCTCCTCCTCCTGCCTTCCTCCCTCCGTCCCTCCTTCCCGTCCTCCCTCCTCCCTCCTCCCCTCCTCCCTCCTGCCCTCCTCCCTCCTCCCTCCTTCTCCTCCTCCTCCTTCCTCCTCCTCCTTCCCTCCTCCTCCCATCCTCTCCTCCTCCTCCCCCTCCTCCTCGCTCCCTCCTCCTCCTCCTCCGCCTCCTCCCCCTCCTCCTCGTCCGCCTCCTCCTCCTGGTCCTGCTCCTCCTCCTGCTCCTCCTCCTGCTCCTCCTCCTGCTCCTCCTCCTGCTCCTCCTCCTGCTCCTCCTCCTGCTCCTCCTCCTGCTCCTCCCCATGCCGCGGCACCCGTGCGGGGGTGCGTTCTGAGCCCCAGAGGCGAAGCCCCAGAAGAGCTCCAAGAAGCCCCCCAACGGCGCACAACACGCAACAACTGCCAGTCCCCCAGGGGGTCGGCGGTGTGGCGTAAACCTATAACAATCTCGAGGCGAATCCAACCGTGGCAACGAGGGCCTCCCAGGAGGCTCCAACGAGGCGAACACGAGGAAGGGGAGGGGGGCGGCATCGGTACCTTTTCCTCCTCCGATGTTCGCCCAAAAATCTGGATCCTCGACCAGCTCGTGCAGCTTCCCGGGGTGCCAGGAAGTCCCGACTCTTTCCACTCCCTCCCCCCCCTCCTCCCCCTCCTCCCGTCCTCCTCCCCCTTCCTCCCCCTCTCCCCCTCCTCCCCTCCTCCTCCTCCTCCCCTCCTCCTCCTCCTCCTCCTCCTCCTCCTCCTCCTCCGTTCTTCATCCCGAGTCGTTCTGCTGACAGTCCTAGGCCTGGAAAGGGCACAGGGAGAGGCCGAACAAAAAGCACCCCACACCCTTCGCCGCGACTTATTGGAGACGCGAACATGTCTGGGCCCCGCGCTCTACTCTTCGGGCCTGCTTTGATGCCCATGTTCGCCCAACTGTGCCGTCGCCGTTTCCGCCATACGTTCGCGTAAGCATCCGCCCTGCTTTGCTGGGGCGGAAGCTGTCGCCCTCTGCACCGGCGCGGAGTCGAACCCGAATGGGGTCGACCGCGCCAGGGCGCACAACGGCGCCATGCAAGCATCGGGCCGCATCGGATCTCCAGGAATCTAAATCGGATTGGTCGAAATTGGATTGGCCGCAACTGGATCGATCGGATCGGCTTGAAATCGGCTCGGATTGGCCGAATCGAAATTGGACCAGTCGAATCGGATTGGCCGAATCGAAACGAATCGCACCTCGCAAGCAATCGAAATCGCGTCGGACTGGTCGAAACTGGTCTCGAATCGGATCGATCGGATCGAAACAGGCCCTGCCAAGGTTGAGCAAGGACCGACCGTCCCGGCATTCCTATAGTCCTACCACGAAATGCTCTTAGAGCCCCAAAATGTTCTAAGCACAAAAGCAATGTTCTTAGAACATGAGACCGATGTGATAAAACAAGGCAGACTCCGCCTGAAATGTTCTGAGAACATTTCGTGGAAACCACGAAAGGTTCTTAGAACATTGTTCGGTAGGGTTATGGTGAAGGGGCCCCAGAACACACAAATAAATACACACAAATAAAAATATTCACCATATTTTCCTATATTTTCTAGGTTTCTGTCTTCCCCCCCACTTCCCATATTTTCGCATATTTTCCTTGGGATCGACGATTAATTGTGTCTGTGTGTTTTTTCCCCTCCTGATATGGGCGAGCCAGGACGCTTCGCCACTGCTTGACCGCCGGTCCAAAAGAGCCTGCGCGCGCACCGCGCCCGGCCCCGGCACCTCCCGAGAGGCGCCTCGTGCTCCGAGAGCGCCCCCGCGGCCTCCTCCTCCTCCTCCTCCTCCTCCTCCTCCTCCTCCTCCTCCTCCTCCTCCTCCTCCTCCGCGGCCCCTCCCCCCTCCGCACCTGCCTCCCCGCTCCCGCGTGCGAGGCGGGGACTCGTCCACATCCACCGCCTGGGAACCGACGCCCTGGTGCCCCAGCGGGCGGTGGACATGGACATACTTCGGCCCCGGAAGGCCCTTCGCTCCTGCCTCCCCGCTCCCGTGTGCGAGGCGGGGCTTTACACGTCGGTCTGAAGAAGTAGGTAGGAACACGAAGTAGGAAGGCGGATGTAGTGGATTGGGTCCAGGTCCTCCACCCAGAGAGTAGCAAAACACAGCGAAAGCACGTCGATTCTTGAAGCAGGAAGACGCTTGAGGTAGATTGGGATCTGGGACTCCAAAAATACCCACTTTCAACGACCGGCGTGTATCCATATCCACCGCCTGGGAACCGACGCCCTGGTGCCCCAGCGGGCGGTGGATGTGGATCTGTTTCGGCCCCGGAGGGCCCGAATCTGTCCATGTCCACCGCCCGCCGAGGCTCCGAAGCCTGACCCTGCCCGGCGGCTTGCCATCGCTCGGACGTCCATCCCTCGTGTATTTGTCGATGCCGTGCGTGCTTTTTTCGCTACTCCAGACTTCGTAATAAAAGGGAGGGGGTCTGGACCCTCCAAGACAAGCCATTTCAGACCCCCCCCCCCGCGGGAGAACCCTCCAAAACATCGTCCCCAGACCCCCCCAGGCCCTCCAAGATAGCCTGGAAGAGACCCCCCCCGAAATGTGACCCCCTCCCTTTTATTACGAAATCTGGAGTAAGTCATCCAGGATGCTCCTCCAGGGTCCTCGCCGCGGACAAACATGCACACGTCCGAGCGATGCCAAGGCGGTGGTCATGCACAGCTTCCCGCCTTGGACTGTGGGCGTGCAGCCGGGCTGCTGAATCGAGGGAGGCGGAGGAGGAGGAGGAGGGAGGAGGAGGAGGAGGGAGGGAGGAGGAGGAGGAGGAGAGGAGGAGGGAGGAAGGGAGGAGGAGGGAGGAGGAGGAGGAGGAGTGAGGAGGGAGGAGGGAGGAGGGTAGAGGGAGGAGGAGAGGAGGAGGAGGATGAGAGGAGGAGGAGTGAGGAGGAGTATGAGGAGGAGGAGAGGAGGAGGAGGAGGAGGAGAGGAGGAAGGAGAGGAAGTAGGAGGAGGGAGGAGGAGGAGGAGGGAGGAGGAGGAGAGTATGAGAGTGTAGGGGTATGAGGGAGGAGGAGGAGGGAGGAGGGAGGAGGGAGGAGGGAGGAAAGCTAGAACCCCGGACCTCGCCCCGCTTCTTGCCGGCCGGAACCGGTGCTGCTGGCCACCTCGGACCCCCAGCCGGCTCCTCGTCCGAGGGGCGACGACCGGGGGGGGACTGGCATTAGGGGGGGGAACCCAAAGTGACATAAACATAAAATCTACCTCCTCCTCCTCCTCCTCGTCCTCCTCCTCGTCCTCCTCCTCCTGCCTCCTCCTCCTCCTCCTTCGCTCCTGCCTCCTCCTCCCTCGGGTCCTCCTCGTCCTCGTCCTCGTCCTCCTCCTCCTCCTCCTCCTCCTCCTCCCTCCTCCTCCTCCTCCTCCTCCTCCTCCTCCTCCTCCTTATGGGAACAAGAAGGGACATAAACATAAAAACCTCGGAGGTCCGCGCGGATTTCTCGGATCGGCGCTGGTGCCCCCGGCGGCGCCTCCGGCGCCGCCCCTGGTGCGCTCCGCGCGCCAGGGAGGGGGGCCCAGCGCCGATCCGAGAAATCCGCGCGGACCTCCGACTTGCTATGTTTATGCCACTTCTTGTTCCCCTAATTCAGGGGGGAAACTATCGACCGATAGGTCGGCGATAGGCCCCCGACAGCAACTCCCGGGCGGGGTGGGGCTATGAGACCCCTTTTCGGCGATCCATGGGCGATTGGGGGCCGATGCACCCCCCCTTATCCCGATCCCCCCCCACACTGTTGCCCCTGATCCTCAGGGGGGGGATGGGGGAGAGGGGAAGGCTTCTCAGGAAGAGACTGCTTCTTGGAAGGCGCCAGCCCTTCATCTGCAGACAAGGCCCGCGCCTGCCAACAAGCAGGGGTGCTTCCACTGGCCATCGCTCGGACGTCCATTCCCTGTGCTTTCTGTCGGTTTCGTGCGTGGTTTTTTTTCGCCAGATGATCGAGGATGCTCCTCGATGGTCCCCGCCGAAGGAGAAAAGTTGGGCGCCCGAGTTATCTGGGGTAACTCGGGTCCGGGGTAACTCGGGTTTGGATTCCCGAAAAAGAAACCCGAGTTACCCCTGACCCGAGTTACCCCTGATGATTCGGGGCTCTGGACGCCCGAGTTATCCGGGGTAACTCGGGTCCGGGGTAACTCGGGTTCGGACTCCCGAAAAACGAACCCGAGTTAGCCCTGGCCCGAGTTACCCCTGATGTTTCGGGGCTCTGAAAAGCACACGTCCGAGCGATGCCAAGTCTGAGAGGCCCTCCCCCCTCCCCCCCACCCCCCTCTGCGCGTGGCCGACGGGGCCACAGCGTGTGTGCGAGAGCAGGACCGCGGCCTCCCTCCCTCCCCGCCCCGTCCCCCCTTCCCCCCCCCCCCTCTCTCTCTCTCTCTCTCCTCCGCACTGCCCCGCTCCAGTATGCTCGCCCCCGTCCTCCTCGTCGTGCTCGTCCTCCTCGTCGTCGTCCTCCTCCTCGGCTTGGTCCTCCGTTCTCCTCTCCCTCGTCCTCCTCGCCCTCGTCCTCCTCGTCCTGCTCGTCCTCCTCGTCCTGCTCGTCCTCCTCGTCTTGATCCTCGCTTAATTATCCTCGCCCTCGTCCTCCTCGTCCTGCTCGTCCTCCTCGTCGTGCTCGTCCTCCTCGTCGTCCTCGTCCTCCTCGTCCTTGCGCCTCCATTCTCCTCGCCCTCGTCCTCGCCCTCGTCCTCCGCGCTCCTCGCCCTCGCCCTCCTCGTCGTGCTCGCGCCGCCCCCCGGGGCCTGCAGCGCCTCCGCGTCGCCGGCCTCCTCCGCGGCCGCCAGCCTGTCGCGGGCCTTCTGCCGCGGCTCCTCGACGGCGAGGGTCTCCCTCGCCGCCTCGAGCCTGGACGAGTCCACCTGGCACTTCTCCGCCTCGTCGGCTTTTTGGGGAGGCTCGGAGGGCTGGAAATGGGCACCGACACCAACACAGGGCGTCGTCTCCACAAGGGGGAAGATGATCCCAGATTTCGGTGCTGGTGGTGATATATTTCGGTCGCCTTGGAAGCCAGAATATGACCACCATCACCGAGATCGGGATCTTTTTCCCTCGGTGGAAGCAAACCGCCGATATTGGTGTTGGTGTCAACCTCTAGGCCTGCGAGGAGGAGGAGGAAAGCTGAGGGGACGAAGCGAACAGAATCGAAGGCCTCGCGTGCCGTCAAAACCGGTGCTCGGAGATCCTAAAGGTCAGCACGTTGCACGCACCCGGGAAACGGGCAGGAGCACAGGTTTGCAAATCTGAATTCAGGCACTTCTCCGCC